CGTGAACTTTGATGGAATTCTGTCGACTTCTGTGGTCTGGTCAGCAGTTCCATTATGGGGGCCTGTCATCCGTGGGCTGCGGCATGGATTCCGTAACACGTGGTTCCATTCTGGAAGGTTGTGTGGATCTTTGTAGCCATCTATGCTGAAGTCAATATGGCCCCGCCCATTTCTGTAAGACACTTTTTCTCTCTGTGGCCCGCTCACGGATTCCGTTGATTGTACGGAACTTTAACGGAGCCAACCAAATTCTGTTGTGGATGGACAAAGGGGGCCACCTTTAGTGCAACATCACCGACTGGTCCCCATTTCCTTGCTGCTCTGCATCCTGGACATCGGCCTGACCACTGAGGACGGGCCCACCCTTTGGGTGGCGTGCGGGGCACACATCGACTACATTTTCTTCAACCGGGCCAGTCGGGCCATTTCATTTTGGTGGAGGATGTTCACGTCGATGCGGAGGTGATCACCTTCCAGGAGCGCAAGTCCAAGCTGCACCCAGAGGAGGCCCCCCGGTCGCGCTACCGATCGTGGCCTTCCCAAGGCGCCCCCGAGGTCATCGACCTCTTGCGCCGGTGGGCGGCCTTCCGCGATCATGCCTGGGCACAAACGGACCAACTGCCGTGCCATTTCTACTGCCTTCCCAGCGAAGCCACCCCTTTGTCCAAGACCATGGCCTCCTGGCTCTCGTCCCTGCTCGCGCACTTTCCAGACCTCGCCCAAGAGCCCTTCATGCATCATGGCCTGCATGGTGGAGGCGCATCGAGCTGCTTCGCCTTGGAGGTCACGGAGCGGCACATCCAGGACTGGGGTGGGTGGAAGTCAGACGCGATGTGGTTGTACATTGATATTTTTCGTTTACCTACGGAGTGGGATTTTCATCTCTTTGGTGGGATGACCATCACCGCCCATGACCTGCATGAGCAGTTCGGGCACATCTTCTGCCCCGGAGGGGCCTCGCATTCCCGTAGAGAGTGACTGGGCAAGTTTGATGGACGGGAACCTTGGGTATGTGAAGTTGACGGTTGTTTGTAAGTATTGTCATGGGGGTACATGACGGGGTGAGCTCAGGAGACCGGTAAGGCAGAAATGAAATAAACTATCCTGTTAATGGGTTTCTGCCAAGGGCGACGATGGGTGGGCTGCACCGGTGATTCAAACCGCGCAGTTTGAATTGGGGGTTTACTCAACCCCATTCCCTTGGGATTTCTGGCCAACCCCTGGTACTGTGGGCCAGCCAAAGTATGATAATACGAGGTGCCGCCGGCGAGGGCGCCCTCGAGTTTGGCGGGCGTTGGCGGGGCAGCGGAGGGCGGCTATTTAGGCAGCCCCTCGGTCCCCCTCCTTATTTTGTTTCGCACCCGGCCCTCCCACCCTGGAACGTGGAGTTCGTGTTAGTTGTGGGATGGAGAGGGAGTTGAGGGAGTGAAGTACGGGAAAGGGAGCTGACTCTTGGGGAGTCACTCACTGAGTGGCGTTGAAGTACTAGCAAAGCGAATGGGCAAGTTTCATGGACAGGAACCTTGGGTATCTGAAGTTGACGGTTGTTTGTAAGTATTTTCATGGGGGTACATGACGGGGTGGGCTCAGGAGACCGGTAAGGCAGAAACATGTGCCACTTTGGATTTCGACCGCAGTCTGTTGTTGCCTGAATACATGTGGGTTGGGGTAATGAGGCCAGAGAGGCACACACAACGCCTTCAGAATCGCGACTCCACCGCCTGACGCTTTGGGTTTTGTGAGCTGTGGCAGGGGGAATTCCTCCTCAATTGCGCATCCTGCCGCTCCCTTCCAGGCGGTGCAATCGCTGGCTATCACAAGGTGTCGCGGCTCCAACGACAGCACAGAGCTTTGGCACTGGAGCCAAATTGGTCGCCGTCCCTACTGTGCCGACGGTGCTGCCGTTGCCAATCAAGACTGGTGGTTCTTTCACAGCAGACAAGGGCGTCGCACACAGAAATTGTGGATTGCTCGCGTAATCGACGTGAAGAATTAGCAACACATGCGCTTGGAAATACTGTGTTGATTGTGGGTCGGATGGAACTGTGTGGGTTATGCGTGCGCTGGCACCGGCTGGCAGTGCCTGTGAAAGAGCCAAAATTTGCCAGCCACTCGGTCGGCGCCGCCTTCAACTGGGCCTCACAGCGAAATTGTGAAAATGTCATCCCACAAGGCGCCAAGCAAGGACCCCATGGAAATGTGAAGCTGAGAGGTGCGCGAGCATCAGCAGGCCCGTTGCTTACACTAGCTGTAACATCCTTATTCGGGGCCCAATTAAATCAACAGCCAATTGCGCATCACCACCATCGCGGTGCGCGCACACGTCCCTGGGCGGCGGCGACACCCCCTCGGAGGGGCAAATGGAAACAAATCTCAATGCAAACGGGGCGTCCTCTCACATGGACTTCTCTCCCCAGCGGCAGGGCGTGTACACACTCTGACACACGACACCCTGGTTGCTCAACAAAAAAAATGCACAGGCTGCGCCCAGGGGCGCGCGGAAAGACGAAACAGATAGAACAAAAGATCCCCACACGACGTCCACCGGCCACGGCGCCGCTGCACAAATAGCATGTGGCAGGCACCACCCGCGGCCTCTCATGCACACGTACTTTGCAGAGCAGTCGGACATGCCAGGCCAGACTGCGGCCCAGCCTGTCTTCACCAACGCCGCCTTCCAGACAGCCTCCCACACTTCACACTGAACCACCCAACACCTTCCCCCGAGGGTCGGCTTGCTTGTACACCGCACGACACACTACACTCATCTCCTCTCTCGACATGACAGCCCATGTACACGCAGACACACGCTACACCACACCCGTCACACAACACTGGCCACTCCCCTTCCCGCATCCCTGCAGTGTGGCTTCCCAAGGTGGGCCTGGGTGTGCCAAGGCCTAGCGCCTATTCCTCACCTACAATCTCGTACATTTCCTCCCTACCTAACACTGGGGGGGGTAGGAACCGCCAGCCGGGCGCACGAATGCGCCCGGCCGGCATCTCCAGGGGCAGCCGACACAAGCCGCCCAACACCCCTGGAGTGGCAGCAGGCCACCTGTTGCAACCGCCGCACGAATAAAGCCTTGCCATCCCCACGCGGGCATGGGGTCCCGGTTTGGGACATCCCCCTCCCACGGCACTCTCCAACAGGTTCAAACAATAGCCGGGGATGGCAGGGTGGGAGGCCAAGCCCCCCTCCCCGCCCCCTGAAACCACCGTCACCCCCTTGTCCGATACAAAAGTGCCCATGCACACGTCATAATTGTCAATGAAGCCCACACGTTCAACACGATCCAGTCACGTTCAGAGTCTACCCTGATCTGGGAAGCCAGGGTGGCGAACACCGCTGGGCCAGCCGACCAGCCGAGGGCCAGAGCACAGAACTTTGCAGCACGCGCATTGCCCCATCCACAGGCTGGCCCATGGTTTGCCCGCCCCCAGCCCCTCAACAGTCACAAAGTCAGTTGAGCAAAGTCTTTCGTGGCACAGCTCACACATGCCTCTAAAGTCGTTTGTGCTGTCCCCTCCCCAGGCCAGCCAGCTCGGCTGCCATCCCACTGCGAATGCTGGGCAGTGGCACAACGCATCGCCTGGCTGGCAAAATTCAAAATCACAGTGCCCATCCCGGTGCAGCAGAGCAGGACACGCACCGAGCCCATCTGCATACCCTATCACATCACACAGCTCCCAGCCAACACCGTGGGGAGCTGTGAGGGTGCTTGATTGCACCACAGGGCATCTGCCAAACATGAAGAGACACCACAGGAACTCCGATCAAAACGTCACACTCTGTCACCCACACAGTGGCAACAGAAAATACACTCTGACATCTCCCCGGCAGCACCATCTGTCCAATCGGCACTGCCCAATCCCCCCCCCCCCCACCCCCACCTCCTATCCAGCCCCCCAGAACCCAAACCCACCCAAAAGAGACACTGAGCGTCCACAAACAATTCCCATTGTCAAGTATTTCCAGGAACCCCCAAAGGGACACCATCAGGGCCTACTGTAACACTGAATCCCATACTGGCCAAGCCTCAAGGGCCCTCAGAAAACTGGGCGCTCGTAAATCCCACATTTTTGTACACATTTTTGGGCACGTGGCAAGCGGGCGTTTTTGCGTGTGCGCATGCGCGCAAAGCTTCCATATCCTTCCTCTTCTCAAGGCACTGGACACCAAGCCCATTCCCACCCCACCCCCAACCCACACCTTTCATTCATTTAGATTCCAGCAGACCTGAACTGGCCCAATATTCCAAAAGCAAAAATCCCTCACGCACCTCATCCCAAAGTAAAGACCCGCAACAAACCCCTGATGTGACAAAACCCCACCCAATCCTCTCAAAGTTCAAGTACGACACCCAGTCGACTTGGCGTTTTATTTTTCAGGCCATGAATTGAACAAATCAATGTGCCGCGACGGCTGAGTTGTTAGGATAGTGCACGTTGGTCCAATTGTGGACAGGCGTTGCCTTGATCGCGGGCCCATTGGGCTTCCTGCCATTGCTTGCCTGTCAAAACACAGAACACATCACGGGCGAACACAAGGATACCTGCAGGAGTTTGAACGAACTCTTTCCGCAACCTTGCCCACAGGTATTCACAGACATGCTGCAATACATGATGGCTGCAAGATGGCATAGGCCGCCAAAACAGCACACCATGTGCCCTGGCTTAGCCCCTTGATGTGAGTTGCCCTGCCTGTTGGATTCTCTCTTGGCCAGGCCATTGTCAGGATATCAGCACTCTCACCTCTTACCCCCAGACAGCATCATCAGATGAGTGTGCTGAGGTGCATGCACTGAGCATCGGACAGTCGCAGCAAGGTCCAATAAAATTTGATCAAAAAGGTGGCAAACACGTGAACATCGCACAGAGAAGCCATCTTGTTCAGACCCTTCCAGCCCAATAATCATGTACACCCCACTCCACCTTGTCTCAAGCTATTTGGGCAGCATATTGGTACAGTGCTTCACTGTTTCTCCACTGGGTCTCACCTCGTCGACCGCCTCAAACACAAGCGGCAAGTAGTCGGGCTCGTGACAGGGGAAGCGTGAGTTGCGGAAGTGCTCGATCAGGGCATTGCGACCTTGCACTCGGGCGTATGTGATTTCGCACACCTGCAAGCAGCCATCACCACATTCTTGACTGCTCTTCATGCATATCCAACACTGCCCTTGTGTGCATCTCGCCCTTGTGCTGTAAAACTCTGCCCTCGCACCACGTGATGTTGTGCACCTCAACATCCACAGTTTCTAACCTTGCTTTTTTCTCTATAACAGAATACTGCATCAAATTCAAGAGCATAGGCGCAGCCCTTGGTCCATGAAATGTCCAGGGTCCCAAGGTCTGGCCCTGTCTTGATGAAAGAGATGTGCTTTAATTTGTCACCGCACATTACACAGTATGCACTTGTACTGCCGAATATGGTTGAACAGCAGAGCTACAGGCAGTGACCGGACAAACAATACAAGAGTGTTGCTACCTATTCTCCTCACATCGCAACATGCATTCAAAAGCAGTAAAAAACACCCATTAAATGTTCAACTGGAGCTGAAGGGCTTCCATAGCGATTTCTGCAAACCAAACCGTGCGCACGCAAGGGTAACGTCCCTGCGACATACTACAGTCAAATCTGACAAGTGCCGAATAGCAGTGCACAGGTGAAATGCAGTAAGAAAGCTCAGCTGGCCACAGAAGCAGTCTGTATGTCCATGCATCCCTTGGTGCAGGAGCATGTGACATATATCGACATTTGAGGCAATGCGCTGGAAACCAGAAACACTTTCATGGAGTCAGCTTTATGGTCTGTAGGCTTTACAGCAAAACGTTCTGATGTACAGCAGAGCGATGCAAGCATTCTGATGTTGCCGGCTTTGGCACTGTGCTGCCCACGCAGTCAACTAACAAGTCCTTACAAATTCAAAACCAAATGGTTCAGTCAGTGAGTGAAATTCTCCTCTGTGAGATTTTGAGCAGGAAAGTGCTTGCAACAGTGCATTTCAGCGAATGGACAATAGCCTGTACTGTCGCCAGCCAAAATACACCCAATTATCCTCATTTCCAAAGACAGAACAACTGCCGACACTGGCCGCCACCAGGGGGCCAGAATAAAACAGTACAGATGGACTGCTGTCAGCCATAGCCTTGGTAGTGCCAAGACAGTGCTTCATCACCTTCTTTGAGTTGAACTCCTCCCAGCTCTTGGAGTGGAACTCCTTGTAGAACTCAGCTGTGGTGGTCGGCGTCTTGAAGTTCACGAAGGCATACCCCAGGTTGCACCGGTTCTTGAAGTCGATGGGCAGATAGAAGAAGTCGTAACGCCCACTGCAGCACAGCAAAAAGCATGGGAAAACTGCTCTATGCACTGCATTACATATCTAGTCACACAATTATGTGCACCTCATACACCTCGAAATACACTTAGCATGCATTTCAGGCCTTGCTGAGCACTTTGTTGCAGTACTTTGCTGCATTTCTTCACAATACATTGTCATGCACGGAGCCGTATGTCTACCTCCATCTGCAGCAAGTCCAGCAACAAGTATTGGCTGTATTCACACCTTGTGCAGACTTTGTGCATCTCGCTGCACACTGTGCACACAATTTGCCTATTGTGCACATGCACTACTGCAGTATTTTGGTGTGCACAGTGGGCTACCAAAACTTCCAGTCCAGCACAATCAGCAGCACTTTCCGGCTGTATCCGCACCTCACATGAGCTTTATGAATCTTGCCAGATACTTCACGTGTAATTTAGAACACAGTACTTTATGTGCACGACGAGATACCTGTACTTCCTGTCCAGCACATCCAACAGCATCTTCTGGCTGTATTTGTTGGGTATGTTGCGAATCATCAGCGTGGTGCGGGCATTGGCCGACTTTGTGCGTGCCTCATCCATGCTGAACTCATACTGCATCGCAACATTGGCACATTCCTCAGTACTTCAAAGCAAGAAAGCACGGGGCCCCACTGTGCCACAGCACATGTTCATAGCACACTGCCGAAAGCCCGCAGAAACAAGTTCCAACCAGCAGCAAAACGCTGAAAGAGCATAACAATGTGCAGAGGGCCCAAGGCCAGTCCACCAGCACTGCACTGTTAGGAATCTTGGTGTAGCTCCATTCAGGTTGAATGCAGACACAGCCAAACGTGGGTTTGACCCCCAGCTGAGCGGTTCGCACTTGGCGGGCAGGCGTTGACGACTGCCACAAACTGGCAAAGGCTTGCAGACAACCCTGAGACTCTGTGTGTGTTGGTCGAGCACATGCCTTCTTAGGACTGATGTGGCTATAAGCCCGGATTTTGAGTGTACCATATTTCATGTCCCAACACCTTCAATGGTAAGCTCTGGAAGATACCCTCAACCATCAATGAATCGGTGGGGGACCAACGCCCTGGCACGCGAGCTACCAGCACAGCATTCTGGCAAACCTAGCAAGAATGGATTTGCCTTCAGCCCTTCACCAAGCCGATGGTGATGATTTTCATACATCATCGCATTGTTCTAGTCGAGTTACTTCGAGTCGAGCATGGCCATGAAGTTGTCACCTTGATTCAAGGAGCAACTGAGATCTGCAACCTCCCTTTGGGCATGCTCCTGTGGGTCCCTGTCAATGCATATCTTATCGCTGTTCATGTTTGCTCTGTGTGGTTGGCACTGCCTCATTGCCATTCATGCAACTCCATATCACATGCTGTTCCTGTTGTGCTGGGATGGTACTGTATCAGCTTCCACACCATAAAAACAACCTTACCAAAAGTTCTGCTCAGGACAGGGCAACCCAACTGATGCAACATGTCCATTCCTTTTGAAAGGGACTCTAACTGCAATGCACCTGGACTTTGCCAACCTCAAGTAGAGCATGTAATTGCTCACAATTGTCCTGTATTTGATTCAGCACAGCGCCTGTTGACTGTATGTTTATGAGTTCATGACTGTCTTTGCACAACACCCATAGTCGAACAAACATGGATGCTGTGCATGCTGACCGATGATGTGACATGGAACTATCTTGCACAGTAACTAGTACACACCAGGACAGGCAAGCCTCACATTAGGTTAGCTATTTCTGCCAACGATGCATTCCAACATGCATAATGGTTGTGTCAGCCTCACCTGAGCAGGGTCGTAACTCCTATCATTGCATCCTCTTCCGGTACGGTGCGACCTCCAGGGGTGCATGTCCGACCCACTTGCCCTGTTCATTGGCGACAAGGGCAGCTCTGCCCGCAGGCCTCCCATTACACTGGCATCGTAGATCCCTTGTGCTTGCATCATCATGGGCTGACCACCAAGGCCATATGGCACCATTGCTGGCATACCTGCACAGACAGAATCAATTAAGTAAGTATCGCTTCCCTGTCATTCTCGCCAAGCCTGCTCTTTTCTGCGGAATGGTCTTGGAGTGCAGGGTACACCATGACTGGATGCCAACTTGAACAAAGCTGAGTCGAACCACAAGGGTTCAATTGAGACATCCCACTGAACGTTGCTGTCCAACAATGCCAGCTCGGTGAAAGGACTTGACTTTTACCAAGCTGCCTTATCCGTTGTGAAAAGTATGTATTTAATGATAATTTAGCCCAACAATTCAAGCATAACGATCTGTGCTCATGTCGGGGTCTGTTGGACTGTGCAGTCTGCCTGCCATTGTGCACATGTGTGCATGTGTTTCAGGCCCATTAGCATGGGACAGAGACACGACGCTTGTTGCTGTTGTTCTCCGTGCATTCGGATTGACAACAACAGCATGTCTGCCACGATAGGGTCAGGACATTGGGGTTTTCAGGAAGGGGTGGGGGGGGTTGGGGGGGTGTATAGAAGGAGCAGTCAGCACATAACTGACCCACAACATCTGTTGCAGCACCTGACACCCACCAAAGGCGTCACCATGCCAAGAGCACATATGGACACTGCCCGGCGCCCCCAACAAGAACGATTAGACAGTGGGCACCCCACCCCTGAAGCCTGCTGGATGAGTCATATGCGAGACCCCCGGTCAAAGACGTCACCGTGATGGGAATCTAACATATAATACCTTGGAAGCTATTCCGACGAAAGGTGAACCCAAGGTCAAAACGACAAGCGGGGGTGAGCCACAAGCGCCGGAATAGCATTGATCACTCCAGCCCAGGCCCCATTTTCCAAACCCATCACAGCTTTCCCAGCCTCCGCCTTCCCCCTCTCTGGGACTTTCGACCCCAAACTTTTCCGACGAGACTCGGTTGACCAAAGCGTCCCAAACCGCCCACACAGCTGCCACTCACCGGCTGGGTAGCCCACGTACTGCGGCCCGCCGTAGTAGTCATTCCTGCACGTCTGCGGCAAGGCGTATCCCGACGCCTCGCCGCCCGCCTCGCCCGCGCCCACCCCTCCCATCGACCCCGACGTCCCTCCCTGCTGCACGCCATCACGACCATACCCGCCGGGGGTGTGATGTCCGGCCACGGGGTAGGGCCCCCAGCCGTAGCCCCCTCCGGCCGGCATCGACCCGATCGGCCACACCGGCTGGACGCCGTCGATCCCGCCCGCCATGCCGGGATCTTTGACGTCCCCCGCGTGGTACTGGCCCGGGTAGGGCCCGAGGTCGAGGCCGTATCCCTGAGGCGGTGGCACCGGTGGGGCCGCCTCCAAACCGGAGAACGGGCAGTACTCCACCTTGGGCGCCTTGCGGCATCTCAAGTCCATCATGGCGCGCTCGGCGTCCCGCGTGTCGAAGAACTCGACCACGCGCCAATCGCCACTCGGGCCCCCGCCGGACTTGCGCACGTCGCGCACGTCGCCGAACTTTGCGAACATCGCCCTGAGCTCCGCTCGAGACATGTCCCCGGCCGCCACGCCGATGCTCCCCTGGTTCTCCATCCCCGCGGCGCCCTGGGGGGGCAGCATGAAGCACGCACCGATCGGCCCGCTGACCTCCCCACCCTGGCCCAGTCCCGCCGCAGATCTCTGAATCTCCGTCGGCAGGCCCCGCGCGGCGGCCTCCGCGTGCCGCAGATCGTAGTACATCACGAACGCGCCGCCGGTGGCCTCCCTTTGACTGGCATCCAGCCCGCGGATCGGCCCGAACCTGCCGGCGGCATCCTGCACGGCAGCGTCGCTCGCTCCCTTGGGCACCTCGCCAACGAACACCACCCTCGTGGGCCGCTCGCTCCGCCGCATCGCTCCCATTCCGGCAATCCACATTCCGTACCCCGCCACACCGGCATGGGGGGCACCCCCCCACGTCGGGTCGTAGCCCCAGGGGGCGAAAACCGGAACTGGAGCCGGCCAGGCCGGGGGCGCCATCCCGTACTCCTCGCAGTACTGGCCGCAGTTCCTCGGAGTGCCGCCGGGCCCGCGGTAGCCACCCTGATGGGGGCCGTATCCCGGCATGGCGCCCTGCGATGCGCCGGGATGCCTGCGCGTGTAGGTGGCCGCCCGCGCCGAGTTGGGCCGCTGCGGCTTGGGCCGCGCGGGCTGCGGCCGGCGTGCGCTCAGAGCACCAGCGTGCGTCCCATCGCGCCCTACTTCCGGCAGACCCTCCGCTGAAGGGGATAGAACTCGCGGCGGGATGGCCATCTTGGCCACCACGGGGCGCCTGGGAGGCGGGGGGTCCGCCCTTGAATCGCCCCTGTTGTCCATCGCTCCGCAGCTGCGGCTTCGGAGATCGTCCCAACGGCAGGCAGCGAGCAGATCAGCCTCGCGACGCTGCTGCGCCGATCACGCACGAACGGGAGATAGGGGGGGTGGCGGGAAGCGGGGACGGGAGCGCCGAGGATCGGGGCGCATCAACCGATCGGGTGTGCGGAGGCCGGGGGCGGGCTACCAGCAGCCTCCCCGGCTGCCGGTGGCGGAAGGAATGGAATGGAACTGGGGCGGGGGGCTGGGAGGATCGCGCTCCAGAGCGCGCCTGGCGCTGGGCTGCCTATCCCGGCCGTTCGCGCATGGGAGGCGGAGGCCTTTGCGCGGCGCCGCGGTGCGACCGTCGTGGACTTATTGCTTGCTCCCCGCCCCGCCCGCGGCGCTGGCACGCAGGCGGCCCGCCACGTGGCCCGACGGGGGGGATCATGTGGGTCCTCGGGGCCCCCGTGGGGTCCCCAGGCCAATGGGCGGGCGGGGGGATCGCTTGTTGGGTCAGTCGGATACGTCGTTGATACGGTGCCGTCTGCCATGTCCTGCGCAGGTGTGTGCCAGTCTGACGGCGCTGGGCCCGCGGAGCCGCGTGGGCGGGCGTGGGCGCCTGTGGTTGGATCCCTAGATTTGACCCGAATCTGACATTCTTACGGCGTGGAGGTGGGAACCCACGACCCCCGGGAGCGATTGGCGGCCTCCAAGGCCGGTACAAGAGTGGAGAAATCTCGAATGAGGGCCTTGAGTGGGTTTCGAGCGGGCTTCTGCCCGCTTCAGTCTGCTTCAGTCTGCTTCAATCCGCCCTAAGAACCCACTTCGGGTTGTCCCTCAGGAACGCAGGCCACCACCTGGACAACGCGGTGGATCAACCCTAAAGGTACTGCACTGCTCTGGTCCTAAAAGAGTTCGCTGTTGAAAACTTTTTCCCCGCATTCCGCGCCTGGGCCCCAGGGATCATTTCGCTTGCGAATTTCTTGTCCCGCGAGTTTTGCGGCCTGCAAACTCTTGCGACCCCTGCCCTGGGACAACTTGGGCTCCCTGTAGCCCGTTGGTTGGCACAACGGTAACTGCGCGACGTGTGGCGCCCTTTGGCTTGTGTGGCAAACGCCCATAAAATGTGCCCAATTGGTCGTTCGCGACGGTCACCAATGTCTGGCAGCGTCTTGACGCCCTGCGGGTCAGCCGCTCGGAGGCCAATGGGATGAAAGCTGTGGATAAAGTTTTTGGCAGGCGGGGTGCACGGTAGCGTCAGCGCGCGTTCCGCTGTACGCTTCAGGACCGGGCAGTTCACAGAGGCGGTTGCCAGTTTTGGGGAGAGCGGCTGGCCTTAAAGAACATTGAGCAGGTCACAGGTATCACAGTACTGTAAAGCTTTATTGTGAATACAGCACTGCAGAGCTTTACATTATTACTGCAACGTTTGCGTGGAGTAAAGATTCCGCAGGGTGGGAATTTTCGCGGAGCAGCAATGTTCATGGGTGAATTTCAAATGTGCACCATCGGGCGCGCGAGATGATGTCGCACAAACACTTCAATACGCGCATGTCACTCCAAAATTTTTTCCATCGGAAATCTTCCCAGTGCACAGCAATAAGAGGGAAAGTGTGCCATTGGGTAATTATAGGCCCAACAAACGCCCGCATCAGCACGTCTCCAAAGGATCACCAGGGGTGCAGGCAAACATTGAGTGCTTGAAAGTGTGTGTACAAGGGAAGGGAATGACGGGGCATACTGGAGGCCGCAGAGACAATTGCAAGAAAATTCCGAAGTTGCTCTCGACCTGTTTTGCAGTCAGACGGTCACCGGCAAGTTGTTGTCTCAAAACATTCATCACTGATTCATCTTTTGTCGATTGATGTTTATGTTGTAGTGCTTGTAAAACGGGTTTGTCGTTGACAAGTGCTGTCGACGATGTATTAAGGCCCTTGATACGCCTCCGCCTGTTCCCCGTCGCCATCATCCAACAACACCCACCCACCCAGCCACAACCAGCACCACCGCTATTTTCTCTTTTGACGTCGTTACTCATGTTCGATATCTCTGGGCGGTGCGGACAGGCCATTTGTGGTTGCGATGGACCGTCGACGACTACATTCTCGCGAAAGTCTACCCACACCAGCCGCTGGCGACGACGACGGTTCATGCGCGCATCAACTTCGCGACCGATGCTGGGTCGCCCAACGCGACTGGTACGATTACGAGCACCGAGTGCAAGCATTACCCCGCCAACTGCCAACCACTTGCCGGTGCCGGATTAGAAGTCCGCTCAGCCACGGAAACCCCGCCGGGCACCGTCCCCCTCCCAGCTTCCTTGCTGGCAGTGCGAGCAACTGGGTCGCAACTGAGCCACCAGGCCTGCAGGGCGGCTCTGCCCTCCTCGATCCCCTGGAAGGCCCAAAGCGCCACCGGGCGCATGGTGCCCGGCGGATGGCTTCTGCCGTCGTGGCCTGCGCCCTGGTCCTGCTGCTGCTGTGCGGGGCCGAAGCTGCAGGCGATGGGAGTGGTAAGGCATTGCAATGCACCCAATCGGGTGGTCGTCGCGCATACACTCCAGTTTTGAAGCTGTGCGTTCGGCGACATTTCCTTGCTAGGATGGCTGTGGGGCCCTTTGCGTCGTTTTGCCAATTGATATGTGCTCCCTGGGGACACCGCGGCAGTTTCCCACCCGCTTCCCTGCGCGGGGCAAGCGTCAAGGGCGAAGAAAGGCGCGGCTTGTGCATCCCTCGTTGTGGAGACGCGGAAATTTTGAAGTGGGATTCTGGAGACGCAGGAAATTTTAAGACGGCGCTCCGCGGTATTGCAGCGGCGGCAGCTGTCACCCCTGGTGCAATGGCCCTTGTCCTCGTGCGGTTTTCGACTGTCTCGGTATGGCGCCGAAAGTGGTTGAACCCTGGGCGAATGGGCTTGGCCTTTGCGTCTAGCTGGACCCTTTTGTTCCCTGTAGCCAGTATGACGAACAGTCAGCTGCGTCCTGGGGAACAGGCTTTCGGGTAGACGGACTTCAGGCAAGAGGGGGGTAGGATTCCTCCATAATTCAAGGTTGCAATCCCGCATTTCCGAAACAGTAGTTGTGACCTGAGGGAACTTTATCCCATTTGCTCTGGGCCCAGGGGGATAGGGCCCCATGGAGAGTCAGCTACGTCCATGGGAACAGCCATTTGGGTGGACGGACTTCAGGCAAGAGTGGCAATCCCTCATTTCCAGTGCAGTAGTTGTGACCTGAGGGGACCTTACCCTATTTCCTCTGGGCCCAGGGGGATAACGCCCCCAAAGACAAGCTGTGAACGATGTTGAAAATCAGCGGTTGCAAGCTGGGTCGCCTGGGGCTGGAAGCAGAAGCTAAAAATTCAAGACCGAACCCCTGCTTGGCAGCTGGTTGCTTTGTGTTGCATTTTCAGCTTGGACCGTCAAATACTGATAGTGTCGATCTGCCACTGGGTTCCGCGAAGAGAATTTTGCAGTGCTGTGGGGTGCTTCAGCCTCTTCATCATGGACCAGCCATGTTCGACTGCTGTGTGCAAGGCTTTCGGCACAAGTTTGAGTGCCGCATCGTAGGTGGCACAACATTAGGCATTTGATTCATGAGGAGTGCAGCACCTTTGGGCTATGCTGACCAACAAGGTGCTTTTTGGCAGGTGTGGTTTTGGAACTTGAGATCAAGAGAGGGTTGGGTGGCAGAGGGTTGTTGCAGCCAGTAGTGTGTGGACAGCGATTGGTGGTAAGCCATGTGTCATTTCCAGCCACAGGTGTTTTGAGTGCAAACAATGGTGAGAAAAATGTCATTCAGCCATCTGAGCAAATACCAGAATTTACCACGGTCCAGACCGTGTAAAATGATGTAGTTCTTCTGGGTTGAACAGAAGAACAGCACCCTCTGTTTTCAGTTGCTGATTTGCTTGCAAAACCCTGCCATTCAGTGCTTTATGTGCAGTGGTACTATTTGCCAACATTAATACTAACTGCTTCACCATGACCCCCCCTCCTGGGAGCATGAAATGGGGAACAGTAGCTGTAGCTCGGCGTGTCTGCTGCTTGAATAATCCAGAGCTAATCGGATTCTGGTAGAAGTCAGGTAGAACTAACTCTGCTGCTGCCCACTATTTCTTATACCACACAAGATTGTGAAACAATTTGTAGCAATCCATTGATGTGCATCTGCAGAAAGATGCTGCTCAATCTGTGTAGCAATCAGAGAGCCCAGGTGCCCTGCATATCACCTGTATGCTCCCACCATGGGCACCCTGCAACAAACAACAAGGATGCTGAACATTGGGGACCTTGTGACACATGCTGTAGGGGAGACTTGCACCATGTGGAAGATATCCATACATGGTGTCTCTCCAGAAGCGAGATGCCAGACACGTTTGCGGAGGTGTGTTGATTGGCCCTCAATGGATATTGACAACTGCTCGCTGTGTGGAGTCAGTGCGTGTTCCAAGAATAGTCATTGGGGCATGCAGCGTAGATGACGAAGAGGGAAATGATGTGGTTGAGGTAAGGATCAAGCATCATTGTGGCTGGGTAGGAGGAACCAGAGCACATGATTTGAATACTGCAGATTTTTTGGCATTCTTACATTTGCCAAATTGTCCCAGTACAGCATCCAAGTGACCTTGTCATCACCATCAACACATGTAGACAATGGTAGGGATTGCAGATGTGGCTCAGGACAAACAAACAGCATCGTGATCCCTGAGAGCAATGAATTATGGCTAATGATCTTCACAGCTGCAATTGAGCTGCCCATCAATGTGGTGATTATCTGGCACATTTCAACCTTGGAAGACACTGTCTTTTACCTCCCGCAGTAATTTTGGCTCGTGTGCATGAAAAAGAATCATTTTAGGCGTTTCAGCAAACTGAGAACACCTGGCTACCTCCTCACTCCCACTACTCTCCCCTCTTTGTTAGCATTTCGGCCAGTCCAACTTCAGGATCATCCACTTTGGATGAGACTCCATGCTGCTCTGCTCATAATGGCCCCATTTCGTCCAGTCGGGAGGCGCTCAACG